ACTCTAAAATTTTGGTAAAACTCGTGTTTTTCAATATAGAAATCAACGGAAAACGGAAAATATTTTTAAAACATCTTTCCCCCCCCCCGTGAAACAAAAATTCCTTTTTACGGGTAATATGGACTGTTATTTCACAAATTCATACCAAAGCTTTTTGTGTTTCACGGGGGGGGGGGGGGGGGAACATATGTTTATATACAAAAAACGACAAAAATGCTTATTTTTTCAGCAATTTCCAAGTGCTTCACAACTGAAACATTATATTTTACTAATATATATGCTTAATTTTATATGCATAAAACATAAGAAAAGATTTAAGAAACATTTATTCATATCGAAGACTATTTCAGAATATGGTGATGCTTTATAGCCCGATTTCAGTGGAAAATATCGTCTACCCCCCTTATTTCAAGAGCTGGAATTAGGGATATTTTACTATTTAGCACTGGAATTGAAATAATTAATCAATTACCATTAAACTGTTCTTTGTATTAAACAAAGATTTTATGGCCAAATTGTCATCAATACTGAATTAAATGGTTGTAAAATGTAGGCGGGAATCGGGAGTTACCGTGCGTAGTTCTTATCACGCCCATCTTGGACGCATGTACACCATGTACTTTACCCGCGAAGAAGAAGAAACTGCAGTCGGGTGCTTCAAAATAGCAATCGACCTTTGTGAAAAGCAAAACAAAACTACAAATAAAGATTTAAGATTTACCTTTGAGGAAGAAACTACGTCTCCATCCGTGTATCACATGTATGGAATGCATTTTTATCAACAAATATGCTGGATAACACGGGATCCAAATCAAGCAGAGGAGTACCATCAGGTCCTGGATACTGTTTTAAAATACGCACAAAATGCTTGTTCATATTTTGAAACGGCTCGTGAAAATGCTTTTCCAGGAGAAGGGGAACTATACGAGCTAACAGGGGAAATTATGGTCAGAACTGAGGTTTGTAATTATATCAAAAGTCATATAGATATGCCTTTATCAGAATTCGTCAAGACTTCCGGATCTCCTGTTGTAAATTTTGTAACAGAAAGCATGTTGCATCTTTGTGAATTGATAACGCGTTGCTACAGCTCTGTTGACAAAAATAAAATACCCTTTTCAATGGCGAACTACACGAAGTTCATAAAGCTTTATAAAGACCTTTTCAAGGGAAATGCAGGTGAATTGCTATCTAAACGGCCGCTTGACGTGTTTTACAAATAAAGCTCAAATATGGCGAATATGACATACTCTCACTTAATAACAAAATATCAGCAGAAGAAATACATGATGTTATTCAAGCTTTGGAAGAAAATTTTAGAGACCTGAAAGTCAAAAAAACCATCAATCTGAATAAAGGATTGTTTGAACCTGATTTCAGAGATTGGCTGAATGCCATTCGTCTGAATGGATATGACGTAGAGACGCCGCTTGAAGATGTTCTAAAACGAATTTATCAATGGCATGATCTTGGAAACACACCAAGTTCAAAATTCTATATTTTTGTAATTTGTACTGTGTTGGCTCTAATTACAAAGGACAGCAAGCGATGTATTGAGGCAAAAGATATGATTGACAAAGTGAAGAGGTTCAAAAACCACTTTAGAAAACCGTACAAACTCAGAGAAATCCTTGGGGAAGGGCCTGGTATTAAGTGTTTAATCCCTGGGGCATTTGTAAAAACAAAGGGAAACACTAGTTTTAATGAGGTTGAAATCGACACTGGATTTCATGGAATACCTAAAATTTTGAAAGGCACTATTTCAGGCAATAACAAAAATCCTCGGGCATGAACGATATCTTTTGAGGTCTGCACTGGAACTCAGTTTGACGCATATTTTGTCCCAGCTAGAACGAGAGAAAAGTTGATAGGCTCGAGATATTCGAACCAACGGGTGGAATTCATTTTAGGATTTACAATTTTGCATGGTTTAATAGCATATAATGTCAAAACTTTGAAACAAGTCTCATGCAAAAGTTATCCAAGAAAAGTTGAGTTTTATTCCAATCAGAGTGTAGCCCATTGCAACTGCGGAGCAGAGGTGCAAAACATCATCAACATATCCGAAGATTCTTTTGATCCGTTTAATTGATGAAGTACATAGAAATATTTTTGTTGTCTATACAAACGATTTTTTGCGTTAATATTGTATGTTATAAATACAAAATCTTGTATAAACATAGAAATGAATTAATAGGATTTAAGATATGATAATGCTTGTTTAACACGGAATGTGTACATTTCAGTATGAAGATGAGATATCAAATTCAGTTTATATGTTGACTCTAGCTCACTGAAAACAAGTATTATACCCAAACCCACCTTTTTAAACATATATAAATGTACATGTATATTATTTGAAAGTGTGTTTCTTTTTTCTATTTCCGCTTTTCTGGGATATACATCGAGTCGACATATAAATGGACGTACATGTATTAAAACGTCGCCGATATATCTAAATGTTGAGTTGAAGGCCAGAGCAAGAGTTTTCATTTTCTCATGAAGAAGTTTTTGAATAAATTCTGCTTCATAGGATTTTAAAACCATGTCGACTAATAAAGAAGCACAAGTATGTTCACCGGATTCCAACGGATTGTTGGAAGACCTTTTCTCCAAAGACTTCATAGATGTTGTCAATGAGGAATTCCAGCATCCTTTGAATATCAAACTCAGAGTATTTGTGTGTAGAATGATTTTAACAGAGTAATTTTGTAGATGGCCAATCACAAGATATGAAAATTTTCCAGTTCCATTTTTATTGAAGAAGCAGTTGTCAATAATATCAAAAAGCCTAGTCTTTAATTTGTTGTGAGGAATACATGTAGTTGTATAAAGTGTGGAAAAGTAATACGTTTTTGGTGTTACCAACTTTTGAAAAATGTCGTGATTTTAAATTTTATAAAATTTCCTTGGAGTTTTTGAGAAACTACACTTGATTTCATCTTTTCTATATGTTGTAGCACAATACGTCTGAAATGTCTCCTTCGAGGCAGTTAGGAGTAAAGATAGAAGTTTAATAAAAGCATTTGCTGGACCCTGCAATGTATCTTTCTTTGTAAGGATTTTTATGAAGTTTAGGAATCCAGTATAGATAGGGTAGACCTGACTCGCTTCATTGACTGGAATGTTAAAAGTTTTAAAGTCTGAAATGTGATTTTGAAGAATTTCATCTTTAGAAAGTGAACTGTGAGTATAAGTTGGATTTCCAGATGTGGAATTAAACCCAAATTCTTCTAAAAGACAGTTGTAATAATAAGTCTTATAACAAAGACGGTATTTGATTGATTGTTCTGGAGAAATCAAAAACTTAAAAGTTAAGTAGACAGGCAGACAAACTTTGATTGGAAGAATTTAACTGAGTTTTTACGAAAGCCCAAAAGGCTCATTAGGCATTCAAAATTCGAAATACGAGATTCAAAATTCGAATTTCGAGATTCAGTATCTAAATCAACCAATCAGTAGGTGTATTCAAGATTTGGTTACTCCCTCTGCTAAGTTGACTATCAGGAAATCGTCATATATATTTGAAATTAGCACATCATTTGTTATAATAATAATACAAGAAATAATGTTATATGTATGAAAAAGAAATTAAAATGAATGTTGTGTTTAGTTGAGCGAAGTATGTTTGAATTTTCATTATTGCCTTGAAACGAAACAATAAATGGTGCCAATTGCGAGGAAATTTTTATCTTCCGAGCTAAACAACTTTGCATTCAATATTGTAAAAATTCGCGGAAGAGAGAACCCATAGAAAAAAATCAGTATACATGTAGATGTTGGCAAAGGAGGAATTCGTCAAGTCTACGAAATCGGAGTAACATTTGCTTATAAATACCTAGGAACTATTTCCTATGTCAGTGGTTATTTGCAATATATAGCTACAAGATATAGGGAACTAGATTCGAACTAAACTTCTCGGATATCTGTCATCTTAAAATACGGTTAAACGTCAATACCAGATACAGTATTTACTAAACTTATTTACAAAGACAATGACATTCGAAGCTTTTCTCTATATGCTGTTTGCCAGATGATGGTAAGGGCAGAAGGAAATCAAAACATGGAGGATGAAAGAATGTGTCAAGTGTCGTTGCTTAAATTTCTAATACAGATATTCACCAGTACATGTACCTATAAGTGAAAATCTAAGTTAGAAGGCATGCAGAAATTTAGAATATCTTGGTTTAGATTTATCAGAGAAATAACATCTAAACAAATGTAAAAATAAATAGAAATAGGCAAGATAATAGAAATGTTCACATAATAAAAAGATACTTTTCAAAAGTTTTCTCCGATATTGAAAGATGAACATCAAAATGAGATTGATACAGAATCATGAAAAAATTCGTAACCAGTTTTCCAGAAAATGCTAAATTTCACACCCATCTTGGATGTATATTCATAGAATGATTTTCCAATGAAGAATAAAACACCGCAGAACAATGGTTCAAAACGACGGTCGAACTTTTTTGAAAAGGTAACTGAGACTGCAAAAAAGATTTCCTTTTAGGTTGATGGAGAAATTAAACCATCCTTGTATCACATGTATTAAATGCGATTTTATCTACAAATGTTTTGTTTAATGAAGGATCGGATCAAGCAGAAGAATATCATTAGGTACCAATTATTGTTTATAATTATATATAAATTTTTGTTTTCTTCTTAAAACAGCTGGTGAAAGTGCGTTTTTCCGCATGAACGAGTGTACTTTATTTTAGGATTTGCAATGTTTGCATTATTTGATGGCAAATAATAAGTAAACAATTATATATTTGAAAACCCCTCATCTCTACGAAAGGTAGCATTCACGAATCCTGCTGTTATACATACCATTTCTGTAGTTGTAAAGTCGGTAAGGATTTTTTTTTTTTTTGGGGGGGGGGGGGTCTGTCCAAGTAGCAGAAGATAGAATTGCAAAATATTTGAATCCATCACAAAAATTTTAAACCGCATAAATTAGTTTTCATTAAAATAAAACAAAAGAAGAATATCCTAAATCGTTGTATTAGGGTATATCTCACATCATATTTATTTGTGTAAACCTTTACGCTCCAAACACTTATACTTACAATACACAGTATTTACACCTTGCTGTAACATAAAAAATTATATAAATCACTGTTTATTTATGTCCTCATACAAAAACCCCTATGCAGAGATTAAAATATATACATGTATGAATACTGGCAGCCGGTATGATGGCGTGTTGCATAGAGAGCTTATTCTTTTGGCGGATTTTAATTGCCACCCTTGCTCTGCTCATTGATTTCTGGAAGACTGTTAGACTCTGGCGAGGTGTCGTTGGTGTCTGTTGCATGCTGGATGAACTCCTCGTACGTGGGTGGTGGGTCTGCATAATCTTCTGGTGATTGGGTAGATTCGTCTCGTGTCTGAACCACGTGACATTGACTGCCAATCACAGTATGGTAAGCTGGTGGTTCGTCGTCATATATGGATAACCTGGACATAAATATAGAAAGCGCCCTCTCCGTTTAGCTTTGATACTAAAATACTTCTTCAAATAGTATTGCTTTGAAAGAATAAGAAGATGCTGTGCATTAAAGAAAATATCGAATGACTTCAGAATCCAGTACAAAATTTACCTTGGGTATTCGTGCGTCTCGGAAATACCAACACTGCACATTGTTAAAGAATTGCTGCTGTACTATAAATAAAAATATATAATAATGCATATGGGCATTGAAAACATAATGGAGATGGTATTCTGATACAGTAAATGATCTTGAGGAAGACGTAATTGAATCATTCATAGATTTCTGACAATTCTATCTAGACTTTATTGCAGTATTGTTTAATCATGAACAATAAGTCACAATTTATTTTGTTTTCTATAAAGGGATACATCCATTAGGTTATAATCAAGAGACAGAGCTCTTACCGGTAATAGCTATTTCATGGATAGAACAATATATCATGTGGAGAAACCTCCCAAGCCTTCTCCTCATAATTTCTATACTTGCCATATAGAGACAACATGCTTATCCGTTTCTGAATTCATTTTAAATAAATACTTATTTTTATTGATAATATTATGATTGGCCTGTCCTGCTTGATTAATTAATTTTTTTTCTCTCGAAGTCCCTGGATTTTCAACCATTTGCACTGTTAAATGTGTTAAACGTACATTAAGGCCAAGGGAAGTCTAAATGCAGCCAAATATTCCTGAAACTTGTAAGATAGATCACTTTTACGACTGACAGCAACAAAACTAGAAATTTCGTTAGCTTAACACTACTTTTTGAAATTAAAGAAAATTACAAAAATCATCGTTGGTGAGATTTTTTTTCCTATTAGCCAACGAATTGTCGATTTTAATTTTCCGGCGCTCGTATGCCTCAAAAGCCTATTAAAATATCACTACCATGAAGGGAAAAACTAAATAGCGAAATAAAACGAAGTAAAGAGGCAATAAAAGCGTAATCAAGCAAAAATGCCTTATTATGACTTATAAATGGCGTAATATTACGCCTTAAAAATAATGCATGGTAACTAGGCGTACTTCAAAGCAAGATGTAAGAGCGCAGAAAGGGTGTTGTGCCTTCATATTTTGTGATAATGCAATTCAAAAAGGCCTTGTAAGGCAAAATAAAATTTATATGCCTTTTGGAAAAGGTCTGATAACGCGAAATAGAAAAGTATTATAAGGCATTTCTAAGACGCCTTTCGTCTAAAAACGACCTTTTTTAAAAAGCCCAATTATATACGATTTTTCACTTTGCGTTATTACTCTTTTTGAAAGAATAACGTCTTTTGATTCGCATTAAAACGCCTTTTTCACGTTGCTACGTCTCATTTTTTTGTAATTATGACTAATTTTTTTTCGTGTTATCAGGCCCTATCACTTGACGTCTTTATCTCTGTAGTTTAGTCCTAGCCGTTTGTAAGCAAGTTCCTTTTTATAAAGGGTAATTTTAGTATCCTTTTACAGCCTTTCCGATCGAGTACTCGACTGCTCTGTCATTATTCAAAAAAAATGTCTTCAAGATCGTACAGGGTGTTTATTGAACGTAATTTCTGGACCTAAATGCCGACGTTAATTCAGTGAAAAAAAAAAGAAGAATTTAAAATTCAAATATTTTTGATCAATATAAATATACTTAATTAACAGGAGCATTCAATTTTGGATTATTAGTAAAAATATCAAATCAAACGTAAATACATTTCATGTTCTCGACCATTCATAATTGCATACAAAGTCATAACTATCTGTCAATTATATGGTTCGCGTTAAACAAATGTATCATCAAAATGCGAGTCTGACATTTTTTTACAGAGCTGAGAGCTTAGAAAATCTGAAACTTCGATGTCACTAAGCTTACTACTTTAAATTAATGTTTGTTTAAAATATTCCCAGACTTGAGCAGATGAAAGCATTTTTGTTACTTAATAATAAAAGAGACCATGATGTATTTTATTGAATTAATTTGAACTGTGATTTCCAATCATGGCGTTAACAAAACAATGTGCCTCCACGGACAGACGTGCAAATCCACGCAAAGTACATGTATCTAAGATAACGGTACGATCATCTTAGCTGCAATAATGTAGCCCTCTCCGATTTTTTTTTATCTGATTTTTTCTGGAGGAAAAAAAAAAAAAAGGGAGAGGGCTACATTATTGCAGCTACGATCATCTCTGAAAGTTGAATGTGCTTAATTTACAAATAACGATAACAATGAAGAGACAGTTTCCAAATACCGGATAATCGAATACTGGTTTTAGAATTCAATACTCCGGCCGAGCACTAGAGTAACCGGCTACTCGTTGAAAACCGTACAGTTTTTATTTAAATAAACTGTCTACAAATGAATTATGAAAATGTAATCATAAGGGTATTTTCATGAAATGTAAAAAAAAAAGTGACTGAATTTGAATAAACTATTGATATTCCTAAGTTTGTTGTTGCAAATAAAACTTAAGTGTATTGTGCAAATATTTTTCTGATTGAGATAAATGCCTATAGAGGGAAATTTTCGCCCCTTTTGCCCTCGTCGCAAATGGACGAATTTAAAACGGGGCGAATTCAAGGAAGAAAGCATATCCCTTAAATGCAGCTGTGTCTGGGCGAATTTAAAACAGGGCAAAATTGTTTGCAAGTATGAAAGGGAAAAAATAAACAGGTCGAAAATAACCCTTTATAGTATTCATATATTATTTTAGTTCAAATCTCAATTTAAATTTACCTACCGACTTTAATCATATTCACTTGGTTCGACATAAATTTTTGATTACATGAATATTCGAAGATTCACTACAGAAACTAGTTTCAGGCATGAAGACTTGAAACAAAGTAACATTACATACACTACTACAATCTTAAAAGTATTCACCTCCATAATTGGGCGAGTCAAAAGTTCGCCAGTGTAGCTTCTGATGACAAAGCTCTGTTGACTGTTGGCTCTCTTGGCCTTGATTTGGCTGAAGGCACCACGAGCAAGTATTAATATCCCAACAACTATCAGTATAGGACCTGCATATCTCTCGGTTTTCTCATGTTCATAGCGCTCCAAATTTTGAAATGTAAGTGACGTAATGATGACCCCCACGACTAGTAAAATGAGACCGGATATTACGTAGCAAATGGCGTTGCCAAGAAGGACTATACAGGGATTCTCATACCGGATGTACCGGCGGGCTTCTGGTCGACTTCTCCAGGAAATAACAGTGTGCATTATTCATTTATCCATCGTCTGCTGGAAATATATCAATAAAAAGAGTTCCATGGCTTTGTAAATTCACCTGTTTGATCGCTGTACTATGAATAATCTTTTTCCTTTCCAAAATACAACGCAACATTAGTTGTAGTTCCAAATGGAGTTTCCTAACTCATAGAATATTTATATAGCAAGCGAACAAAATTATCTGAGATTTCTTATTATTCCTGAACATTTACAATAACATAATGAGAAAACCCTCTCACCTGTTATATGTATGAATCATCTTAATCAGACCAAGAAGAAAATCATGGACAAAGTTGACTCATGAGTTGGCAAATTTTTGTATCTAGATGTGGATGTAGCAAACCGAACATCAAACAAAACAAGCAGGCGATTATACGTCAAAACTAGAAGTTAGTTTCATCCTCCACTGTTTTCAAAATATACGTAGATGCACATTAGTGCAAATAATGTTCAATAACAAGAAGGCAGTGATACAAGGGCCTTGTTTGTTGCAGTTATTGATCAGTTGGTGTTGAGGCGGCATAGGAAAAGCTTGTTGAATCAATAGTACTCAAATGTTCTCTTTACTAATACAGATAAAAAAGAACGCCCGGTAGGAAAACAAAAATTGGATTAACATTTCCATTATGAAGTCTGGTGCCATTACTCAAGAGCAGCGAGTCTTCGCTGTGAGCGATGGGGCGCTTTAGTGAGGTTGAAGGACCGAAAATTGATAGATTCTGTGAGGAGATTATTAATATCAACGTAAACTGTATTAACTTTCTGTATCGATTCTCTATAAAAGCCTGATCAATCTGTGCAGCAAAGGATATCGCACGATAGTACCTAAAACTCCACAGCTAAGACAAATTGTAAATATGTTATAAAGGTCTAAATGGACACGGGCGTTTTCAATTATGCTTATAAATAAAGTTAAAACTGGTTGCTATAACTGAAAAAGACAGACAATCTATATTCAACTATGAGTATTTTTCCCTACATCTTTGATACGGGGCGAGATTTTTCTTTGACATCATGAAGTGATTTCAAACTCGTAAAAATCGGAAGTTCAGCAGCATATTCCACTAAATGTTATTTTAATTAAAATAAACCTGACATGTGATTTTAAATAACATTCAGAAGCTATTTTATGGCAAATAAGAAATAAACTTTGGAGAAAGATTGGAAATACGCCAAACAAACGCCATTTAACTTAACACGAATGACATGTTTTCATTTACAATGACATTTTAATGAAAATTTGATACTGTATTGCTTCATAAACATTCTAATGGTGAACAATTTATTCTTAAACTCCTTCTAAGTAATGATTGATTGATTGTATGTTGTTTACGTCCTCAGTGGCGGATCTAGAAGTTCATGTGGGGGGTTTTGAGGCCCGTAGGGCCGAAGGGGGAGGGCATGGGAGGGGGTGTCCCCCTCCCATAGGTGGGGGTTCGGGGGGCCTCCCCCGAGAAATTTTCTTAAAAAATGGCTCCAAATGGTGCATTTTCCAGCATTTTAGATTGAATTAGTTAGTTTTTGGCCATTTTTTTTCTAGGTGTTTTTCAAGACTGACCTACCCAAATTTTCAAGAATTAAAACAAAAAAAATAAATAAATTTTGGGATTATTTTTAACTTCCATGTAAACTTGAAAAATGAGACTTTTCTTAAAAAAAATTAAATGTAAAATCTGATAAAATTAGAAATATCACCATTTGATATATAATATCCAATTCTTCATTTTAAAATGCACGTCCAATATGTCGCATGTGAAGCTCTGACTACCAAAATACAACTGATGTGCAATTTCCCAACACTTAGAAAATTTGGATTCTGTGTAGAAACCCTCATTACTCTTTTCAACTACCTGACTCTACTGTAAATATATTTTGAAATATAAGCAAATAACGATATTTCATATTGAAGAATAAATATAAATTTATTATTTTGGGAAATTGTTGGAATTATTGCTTTTTCATGGGGGAGGGGGGGGGGTTGATTTATAACTTCTAACATAAATCGGCACTTTAATTATATTTTTATTTTATCCACTTACCAGCCCAATGTTTTGAAAAAAAAGTCTTGAAAAACAATAAAAAAGTGGCCAATTCTTGTTTTGACAGGATCTCTATTATATACATAAAAGTTTTACCACGATTCATTATACAAAGTTGTAACCGTTAGTTGGGTTTTATTAAACATCATTCAACTGTAATTTTAAAAAAATGCAGACCATTTGCTTTTTAAATTGCATTGTAACTTCTATCCACAAGTGTGCTTTTTGATACAGGTCACAACGTAAACAACTACATGTATATCTAGTATACGTCCCTGCATGGTGTATTAATTAATTTTTTTTCTGAATAATAATAATAATCACAGTTTATTCACATAGTTCAATAAAGTAAGATTCAATTTTCGAAGAATATTACTTTGGCAATACCAAAACAATACCAGCTGTAATAACTATGTGCAGTTTTGGTTTGTTAGTGTATGACGTTGTGTCATCACTAGCTGCACGGACTATCATGATCTCTGTACTGTTGATTATATACCTGTGTATTGTGTGCGCTCTTGAAAGCGGAAAGGGATTTCGCATGGGTCTGTATATTTCACCTCTTTGTGTAAAACAATGGGCTTGGATAGAGTCTCATTTATGCAATATATTGTTAAAATGACACTTGTAAAAAAATTTTTTTTTGATTGGCCGGGGGGGGGGTCCCGAACCCCCCCAAACCCCCCTGAATCCGCCACTGGTCCTGTTCGAGATTTTTTCACTCATAAATACATGTAGAGACGTCACCATATAAAGGTGAAGGGCATCAAATTTAGACCTTTACTCGGCACTCAGGGCCATTGAGCACCGAAGGATCTTTATCGTGCCAACGCCTGACACGAGGCATCGGTTTTTAAGGTCTCATCCGAAAGACCCGCAACATTCACTACAAAGTGCCGACCGCTTGGCGGAGGTCAGTCGCGGCCGCAGTTTGATCCGAAGATTCTCCGATCATGGAGATTAACATTAGTTACTTTCATTCATACAATGTATGTCGATTCAATATATTGCAGTGAACTTCAAATAAAAGACACCACAGAGTCTGCTACACCTGTTTCATATTGGGATGTTTTACTAACTATGGACGATAAAGGCCAACTAACAACTAAATTGCATGACAAACGCGATAAATTCAACTTTCCAAAGTCAATTTTTTTTCATTTATATCCCGCTATCAGCTGATTATGATGTTAACATCTCCCAACTTATTCGATACTCAAGAGCATGCTCCGAGGACGATTAATTTTTAAACAGAGGCAGACCACTGACAGATAAGTTCATGTTACAGGGATTTCAATAACCGTTAAAGTCAGCATTTCGTAAATTCATGGTCGTTATAATGATCTTGTTAGCAAATATAAGAAACTTGAATCTATATTTGAAAGTCACCTGAAATTCCTCATATACAAAAAAAAAAAAGACATTTATAAAGCTAGATTTGATTTTTTCAAAATCATTTTCCGATATAAACAAAATTAAATTTATTTTCTGATCTCAGTATTTTTATTTACATACAAATTTATCAAGAATTAAAAATTTTGATATCAGAAATTAATTTAGATTTCCGTTTTATTTGACTTTTCTCTCTCTCTTTTTTTTTAATTAATTAAATTATTTATTTATATATTTTTTTAGCATGTAACCGAGACTACCTGTCTACATCCTCTATGAGGCTATACAAAAATATTATGATTGTGGTACTAGCCCAAATCTGACATAAAATGATAAGAAGTTTTTTTCCCCCTCGTTTTAGAAATTGTTCGTACGTAGGGTCTATTCTTACAATTTTTGTCTTCGAACTATTTATTTTTAATCCAGATAATCTAGAGTAAAAGTCAATGGTTTCAAGAGCAGCAAACAGTAGTTTTGGTGAGCCGTCAAAAGTTACATGCATGTAAACTGTTGAAATCATTGCCCGGGGTGGGGGTGGAGGTTAAAAGGGTCATGAGGAAGCGTGTGCTATTAAACTTACATGTATACATATTATTAACCCACAAGTATAGTGAGTTTCTCTTGTCAACTACCTTTTTTTTTTAAAATTCTAAATGATAGATTTATTAATTCAGAAAATGGATATCGGGAAAATTGTTTGTAATATCAAAAAATGCTTTAAAATTTTTTATATCAAAAATTCATTTTTGAATATCAAAAAGTGAATGACATAAATACTAGTAAAACAAAGTTTATTTAATTCCTCCCGGAATGTTCCTCTCATCACCACGTCATATATTTAGACTGAATAGATGGCTGGATAAGTAACCTAAACCCTTGTGTTAGGGATTTTGAATAATGCAAAGAATTACTAAATAAGATATGCGCATTTACACCTTGCATTTGCAATACTGACAAGTAAATGAATGCTCAGATTTTCAAATAAGTCTTCCAAACCTCCTAAGACTGCACAAAATCAATGGAAAAAGATCTTAAATTTAAAAAACAATAAAAAAAAATTCCTGAATTGTGATATCAAATATTCTGCTGGATTTTTAATATTAAAAAAATCAACTTTTGATATCTATTTATATATATACTGCTATGAAGTTTTTAAAAAAAATTATTTATACCCCCTCGCAAGTAAAATTGTATTTTCAAAAAAAAAGAAGACAATTTGTCAAATACACAGGGCTCACGTTGGATGTGATCGGTCGACAGGGGGTGCTAGCTCCTCTTAGGCACCTGATCCCACCTTTGGTGTTTCCAGGGGTCCGTGTATTTTTTGCTGTCCACGATTCGAATTTATTTTTCTTTACTAGATTTGTGAGATGGATCACTGTTCGTCACCTTTTAGCATTTTATCAAAAGTAATCCGCTATTTTTCAGGTTGTTCTTTGTTTAGTGTAATAAAGAGGTAAGTGGCCAGTCAAGAGTGTAGATTTTTTTTTCTTTTTTACATGAATGGAGATTTATTGACTTAACTTTTTTTTAAGAAAAGGGAGACCTTATATAACATTCTTGTATACTGAATACATTAAATAAAGTATGATATTTGTTTCTACTATTAAAACATGTAGTTGGAATCTAGAATTTTCTAAGGGGTTGAGAATTTCTCGATTTTTTTTCATACAATTTAAGGTATGTCACTCGTGAAAATTGTTATATCAAGGATTTTTTGAGAAGTATATTTTGGATAAGTACTCATATAGTATGACTCAAAATCGCAGAGAAAATGGGGGGTCAGTGTGCATCTAACTGAGCTACGGTACAATTAAGTTGACCTTTTTGCACTTAAATTGTAACTCTTTGGTTGATCACTTTAAACGTTATCATATTTTATCAGATGTAACCATGGCAATAAACGTAATCTTATTTTACGTAAAATAGTTTGAATAATATTTATCATTGAACAAATCATGCAAATTAATGCGCGTAAATTATTGTGTGACCTTTTTGCACTAAAAAAGTCTCACATTTGTGGTATTAAAAATCTCAATAGGCAATAGAATATTTTCTTGTATCAAACTTTTTACGACTTAAGTGCTGATGGGTCAAAAGTATCGAGTAGTTTAAAATAATGAAAGAAAAAGAAGGGGTCAGTGATGTAAATTTTGAAATATTGGTCAAAATATGCGATTTTCAGGAAAAAACAGTGTAAATTCTTTCTTGACTTCTTTAATATATCTTCATTTCTTGGCAAAGTTTGTTGAGCGAAGGTGTAAATTTTGTTATAAAAATAATAATTGAGACCTATATTTAATATTCCAGGCATATCATAAGGGAAAATATTCTCTGAGTAAAAGTATGTGAGGCTAAAGTTCCAAGATATTAAATTTAATAAATGTGTAGATTTGCAGAATTTTCTGTTAAATATCCTTCCACCACAAGAAATAGTCCCTTATAAATCTTGCTTAATTCTTTATGAATATTTGAGCAGTTTTTTAATTGAATGTTGAACATTTCATATTGTTTAATTTAAATATGTTATAAAGATTGAATTGTAATAAATAGTTTTTAAGTAAGAGGTTCTGACTGAACTTTTCTAAAAGGCTGACGAGTGACATACCTTAAGGAGGTTTCTATACTTACTTGGAAATTATAGACTACACTGCGGGCATGTAAAATAAAAACACAAGGCTATCAAGTCCATCATTTGATTTTAAGACTGGCAGACATCTTGGGAAGCAATAATTAACGTTAGGTCTATATGCATGTTACTACTAGTACTCGCATTTTCTGATAAAATGATTTTCATTCCAATACTTAGTATCGCGATAGCTATCATTTTCATACACTAATTTTGTCTAGTCAGATTACTCGGTTAACGTAATCAGTACAGAGGGCTCACGGCGGGTGTGACCAGTCGACGGAAGATGCAAGGTGCTTACTTACTCTTCGTCGACGCCCGATTCCACTTCTGGTTTTTCCAGGAGTGCGTGTTTTGTTTGTTTGTTTTTTGTGTTTGTTTTTGTTTGTTTGTTTGTTTGTTTTGTTTTGTTTTGTTTTGTTTTGTTTTTTTTTGCCATTTCCAAGAGTCGTATGTATTCTCAGAGAATTTATGAGATTGATTTCTGCATGTCCGTTACATTCACCTTTTTCATCAAAAAGGGTTCGTGTAACACTTAAGAACTCAGATTTCTGAAATGATTTACTGAGAATTTTAATGTATTACATGTAGTTCAAATTTTCTAAATTTCAAAAATAACTGATTTCGTATTTTGAAATTAAATATGTACGTTCAAAAATCTTCAAAACAATTTTTGAAATTTTATTTTAAAAAAAAATATTTACCTTAATTAAATATTCAATATTCAAATTTCCGAATAGGATCTTTGAGTTTTTAATTCAGGGAGTTTATACTTAACAATGTTAAATCAGTACTATTTCTTGTCTTTTAATTTTTTTTTAAATTTACTTCAAACATTTCAATTTCAACTTTCAAAATGTTTTAGAATAGTTTTGAAATTTAGAATTTTGATTCAAACAGACACTGGGAAAATACCGCGATACAATATTGAACCCGCGATATAATGAGAATATACATGTTAGGCACATGACTTTATTCATGTCACCAGAAATAACTTACAAAACGTGTTCTAAGTTTGAAATTTCGCGCCAGTTTGTCAAATTTTACTCTCGTCGCCAGTGAGATTTAGTAAAACTGACGTGGTTTACAGTCAATGGCGGAACCAAAACAAGAGAAGCCAAAGGGATTACGACTCGTTGCCATTACTGTTTTAACGTTGATGGCGAAGCATCCAGAGCTATGTTTCGGAATATTTGTGATTATCACTTCCATAATTTCTAATTACAGTTCAAGGTAAGGAGAGAAAATGCTGATTAGAGTCAATTTTATACAAAACAAGACTGTGAGGAACTTTCATTTTCAACTTGCACTTTCAAAATCGGTATGCCATATGGTTATAATAAAATTGGTTGACATGTTCTCGTTGTTTTTACTTTTTTAAGTTGTGCATTATTTATCCATATATATTTTACATTTGCTTTAAGAAACAATCGCAGATTTTAAGAACAGATTAAGTTCGAATTTCCTCGAATACTGATGACACGTCAATAAATTAAAACTGCATGAGTGACATTGTATTTAACTCCATTTGTTTGATATTCAAATATTCAAAAGTTGACATGATTATTTATGTGAGATCAAGGTTTGCACACGCATACTTAATTAGAAAATGTTATTTCTATCGTTGATGTTGCTGTACAAAATTTGGAAACTGTTGATCTGTAATCTTCAGGAATCGATTTTTAATACTGAATAAGAAATAGAAGAGAATGTATTTGTCATATTTCACCTAGCCAGTGGTATTTCTGTTCTAGCATTACATTTTCTTGAAATAAAGTCTTTGCATGGCTATAAAAAAGAATAAGATGTGATAATGTTGTTTAAAATAAAATTTAACTTTACACAATAAATCAAATTCAAAGAAAGTTTCTACCAAAATAAATTGCAACAACTGCAATTGTATATTTACTTTATGCTTTCTGTAGGCATATGTATGCGAAATAGTACAAATTTTTCTACATATTTCTTACAGGTATACTGCAATACACAAAAAAATGTACTGTATCACATTACAAAATATTTATTTATATAAGTTATGTAAATGGTGTTTCTGTCCACTTCCTTGCAGTTTAAATTTGATTTTAATTATTGTTGTGGTCATTTAAGGCTATATTTACATATATAACTACTCAAAATGAAAGCATAAACAGGGTTGTCCCTAAGAATTGAAATAACAGGGGACTTTTAAAAAGTAGACTAGGGTTTAGAGGTTCCTTCCCTGACAGGGTATTGAGGGGGGATACCAAAGTAACCGGGTGATAATGTCATTATGGGTGGGGAAATTCCCTGGCCTCCGGTTCTTTTGGAAAACCCTGATAAAACACCTCATGCAGTGCTATCTCTTTTGAGGTCTGAATCTCCTGTTTTTCATCACAGTAGGTTAATTTTTTTTTATGTATGCTTTCACAATGAGATAGAGAGTTTATCATTCAAAAACAGAGAAACACAAATTATACAAAAAAAAATTATGAAAGGTGAAATATCTCGTTATACATGTATCATGATAAAGTTCCAGTGTATCATGTTATTTCAAGGTAAGATTAAGCTGTGTCATTACACCCTTAATTATTTGTTTTTGAAATAATCATTAGTAACTACAAATGCTGAAGAGATCTGTTTGCTGTAACCAGGTAGCTCAGTTGGAAGAACACTGTTGTGTGTTTGTGTGTGTGTATGGGGGGGGGGGGGTCAATCCAGGCTCCATTGTATTTCCTCCCTTCCTGCTACTATTTTGCTATGCCCCCCCCCCCTTTCAAACTAATGCAGAGCTTTAAATGTTATTCTAATAGTATCTGATGTTTTGGGAATTTATCAACCCAAAAATGAAATATAATTATGACTTGAAGATCAACCATACAAAGAAAATCTTAAAAATCTTCTTTTGCATTTCAGTGTCCTTGAAAAAAATGTATTACATCCACCAAAACACCCCAAACCATTTTTCCCTCCTGGTTCATCAGTTCTGGATTACCCCTGGGGTGACTTAATGCCAGTGGCAGACCTTTTAATGAAGAGAGAACTGCTTGTTGTCCTGTATTATGCTCCCTGGTGTGACGAGTCCATGCGAGCAAGAGCAGAGTACTCAAAAGCAGCCAGGTTCCTGCAGGACAAAGTAAGACACCATGCAGTATTATAAAAACTAGTTCACTATAAAAATGAATAGCAGGAAATTTATTTTAAATGAATGGACACTTATGTCTGTGTTATGATTGATATATGGTAGGAAATTGGCCATTTTTCTAGACCTTAATGAATTCTAAAGAATGAGTTTGTCGGTGAAAAACTGTTCATGAAAAGTGACAGAATATATTTTGAGAGATTTTCTTAATTCCATTGCATTTTCTTTCTAAAAGAACGAGAGACTTCCATACAAGAATTTCAGAATGATATTTTTTATTAAAGTCATTTTTTGTCTCAGGTGCTGTTTGTAGCTATTAACTGTTGGTGGCCTCAAGGAGCATGCAAGACCAACTACAAGTTCCATAGATTCCCAGAGATCTTTGTATATCACACCACCATTGATGGAATTCGTTACTCAGGTTTGTTAATTGTCAAAATCTTGAAAGACAATGCAAAACAAATGAAAATTCAGCATTACATTAATGCTACATTTGTTTCTTCCTCCACACAGTATTATAGAAATATTATAATTAAACATGTATGTGATAGAACCTCATCATGTTCATGTTTAAGGAAAACTTTTTTAGAAATATGTTAATGTGCACCATATTGTATTGCTTATTGATTCAGTTTAAACAGCTTATAATTTATGCATATTATGCATTGTTACAATTATGCCTTTGAGATACAAAGAGGCACTGTTATATAGATTCATATTTAACAAAAACATATGTTCCTAGTAATTTTTGAAACAGTTTCAGTAATTAATTTCTTTATGCTTTATCAGGATGAACAAAAAAAAAGAAAGCATACTGTGAAGTGATAAATAATAAATCAAAAAAAATTTCAGTGAATTATGATTACAACTTTTTTTCAGGACTCACTGTCACATTGAATTCAATGCTTAAAAAATTAATCATAGCTAAATGCAGCTTTTTAGAATATGTTATTGATTTTTCTATAAGTTATAAGACCCCATGCAGTGTTTTATGATCTGATTATATCAGACAATTATTAATTACATTTCTTCTTTCCTGTAGGCCCTATATTAGCAGAATACATAATCCGTTTTGTGGAAGAACTTATGTATCCCCTGACCTTTCTGTACTCAGAAGATATGATTTTGAATTTTGTTTCAAAACAAGATGTAAGTATTTCTCAAGATCAATTAAAATGAGTGATAGATATTATATTTAATGTAAATAAAGGACTATATTCTGTAGTGGCCAGTATCTGCCCCCAGAATAAAACTTTGATGGAGAAATCTTTAATTATGTTCTAAACCAGGTGGATATTTGCAGACTTCATAGCATTAAATATTTTTATCAACTATGACATCATTAGTTAGATATGACGTCAATAAAATGACGTAAATTCCAAATTGCAATGATTTTGAGAGAAAATAGCGTATTTTACGTCAGTATTTTGATTGGAAATTATCGAGCGCAGGTCTGCTCAGACTAGATCTTTTGATATAATGTGTAGAATGATAATATCAATGAAATATGTGAATATGGTACCTGAGCAAGCTTGCGCTCTATAAATACTTTAGTCAAAATTGAACAAACTCTGTGCATTTTGGCCTCTATTTTAGAAATAACGGAAATCCAAATAGTTTGTGACGTCACAGAGACAAGAAATGCCAACTAAATATTCCAATTTCATAATATATTGTCTTAATTTGGATTATTTTATACAATATATGCACTTTTTCTCATTTCAAGATATTTTCAAAATTTGACTATTATGGGGGCAGGAATATGCCCTTACCGTATATAGCTCTTTAAAAATTCATTTAACTATTCTTAGGAATGTTGTTTTTATGAACATATACAGAGTGGATTTACATATTATATTTAAACTTTCACTCCAGTAACTTTTATTTTTAGTTCCATTAGATAATTAAATAAATAAATTTTGAGTAACTGCAGTTTGTCAAGCACTAAAGGTATAATGTTCTTCCCAAATAAAAAAGGCAAGGAAAGGTATTCTTATCACAGTTTGGTATGAAACAATTTACGTAGTTACATCAAACTTGCAGAAATATCTTTCAGTATAGATAACCCTTTCTGTAATATTCACATTTGGTAAAGGTAAATTTACTTTACAGAATTCAATCATTGGATTTTTTGAATTCAATTCATCACCACAGCCACCTGGATTTATTCAGTTTTTCTATGCTGCAATAAGATTAATGGAAAAAAGTAAGTAATTACAACAACTTTCCAGAAATTATCATTATATAATTACAATAATAAAACTTTTTACAACCAAACATTTAGTGATTGGGAGGTCTAGAATGTTCATGTAACTATAAATGATCATACTATACAAATAACAGAGCCATTTAATAGAAAAATAAACCTTCCCCTTCCCTATACACACACACTTTGGTGACATGTTTTGCTGTCCCTTTCCTCAAGTTTTAGATGATTGATCCTTCAGTTTGAAAAAGCTGTAACAGCCCTGCCAGTTGTATAATTAATGCTTCTAACTTATTAAGAATGATTTGATTGGCATTTGAATTGTAACTAAAATGCTACATTAGACTAATTCATTTAAATAGGATAAATCTGTGTCATTATCCAGAAATCAAAAATTATTATTTGATATGAAGAATAGATGGTGCTTTATCAAAAATGCTAAACTATGTATGAGGGTTGTCCCAAAATTACGTAGACTGAACTCATATCTTTTACAAAAATTAATGTATCTTTATGTAATTTTCTAGATGTATTCAGGGTGTTCTTGGTTGATGAATTGTAAAGTTTTAACTTGATTACGTAGAAAATCCTTGAGTAATTAGAATTTAAGTGTTACCCTGTCCTACAACTAGGCACAATCTCCTATGTCAAAAGATACATAAACTTTACTAGTGGTGATTTTTTTTGGAAAATACGCCAGTTACTAGATTGACATTTCTTTATTTATCAAAATGAGTTTTAATATATATGTGAAATATTTTAATTGTTATGATAAGATAAAATATTTAAATATATAAACAAAATATAAACCTGTATTCGATAGACGAAATAATTCATAAAAAAACCTTCTCTTATATTACTGATTTTGTTTTTGTTTGTCTTCCTTATAGACATTGTCGCTTTGACAAAGCGATTTCCATTTCTTTCAACTGGTCTGTTTTTTAGCTTTTTTCCTTCATTTACTACTAAAAACTCTTGTAATATAAACACTTAGGACTGAATTTCATTTTTATGTGTTCCGGACATTAGTGGCATTGTGAGTGTTCCTGTTGAAATGAATTCAAGGTCCGAACAACATTTTATTAATTACAAGTGTGCCACCTGTATCAATGCATCTGCCATTTTTCAACAATTACGGTGTCAAACTGTTGCATATAAAATGTTTTAAAATTCTTTTTTTTTAGGCATATGGGCCATATGCCATTAAATTGGATTAAAGCTGTGAAACTGTTTCATTTGAAAAAATCTAAATTCTGTATTAGAAATAACTTTTTTGCAAGGTTTTTTAATTCATATACTGATTTTTTTGTAGCGATATTTGGGACTGGGCCACATCTTTACATCAGACATTAGATTAACTCATTTAAATAGGTTAAATCTGTGTCATTATTCAGAATTTAAATAAATTTGTTAGTTTTTCTTAGTATATTTATTTCTAAAGTTTCATTAATACATGCATATGACACTGGGTTACTATAAAACAACGCTTGTCTACAGAATTCTGGGACAACCCTCAGACATTAAAATCTTAATGTGTTCCATTATTTAACATTTTTATGCAGTAATTTTATCAGAATGTGAACCCTGTCAGAGGATGCATCCATTTACTGATGTATCAGTACATTTGTCATTTGTGTTTTTCAAATCCCTATGGAAAATGAAAAAAAGCATAAGTTAAAAAAAAAAACTTTTTAAAAACTCTTTTGATTCCAGACCCACTCCAGCCAATTAGATGTGGTGTAATAACCCAGCAGTACTTGGCAGATGAGCTTGGTTTGACAGATAAAGAGGAGATTATCATGATCAGGACCTTCAATGAATCACTGGTGAATATAGCATATCAGTATCACAGTCAAAATATAGCATATCAGTATCACAGTCAAAATATAGCATATCAGTATCACAGTCAAAATATAGCATATCATATTGTCTCGATTAGTATCACAGTCAAAGAGAGATAACTCTATCTTCATTCTAGAACCAAAATTTGGAGGAGGGGGGATGACTACTTTTAAAACTGAAAACAAATTTAAATGAGAAATATTTGTAAATTTAAAGATCACCCGTCACATAAAATCACTTTCATTAACAGTCCCTGAGTGGGGGTACTCGTAATAGGATTTGTTTGCATCATATGAATTGAAATACATATATATATATATATATATATATATATATATATATATATATATATATATGTATATATATATATATATATATATATATATATATATATATATATATATATATATATATAAGTGTGGCAAATCTAAATATTTGTGAGTGACTCTCATTGAATCACATATTGGAAGACGATCACCAGAATATGGAATTTTTTGGCTATTAAAGCAAGTTTTCATTTACTAGTTTTACTACATTTTAACAACTAAAGTATGCTTAAAATATATCAGTACTTGGTGCTTGCATTTCAAGATGAGATATTTATTTTCCCAATAAGAACTACTTTCATTTTATTGTTAAGTATTGAAATTATTTCCTGTTTTTCATTTCTAGTTGTATCCAAGGACCAGTAATCTGACAAGTTCCAATATTTGGAAGTGGGCACTTCTTCACAAAGAGCAGGTTAGTGCTTCGGGTTCTTGTGGTATGCTGGTGTGCTCTAGCAACTTGTCATTTGGGGTCATGAATCACACATAATCATTGTACTAATCATTGATAGTCAATTAACAAAAGAGCCAACATGCCTTGCAAAAAATCCTCGTGTTTCAAAATTAAAAATTCTGTCCTTCTAGCTGTGTCTGCTTTTTGTTGTCGCAACAACTCACCTGGTATTTACTCAAAACTTCTCCTGTACTACATAGGTATGAGAAAATTTGTGTTTGTTAAACCCAGTGGCAAATTCATCATCATATGCCCTTATGAACAATGCTGGAAAGAGGTATGCTTAAAATTGAAAAAAAAAATTGGCATCATGAGTCCAGAGTTCCAGTTCCTGGTGAGGTCAATTTGGTTATAGGCAAAGAAACTTATGAAACTCAGGAGATCAACATATACTTGGTAATTATCACTGGTTACAGTAGTGAAGGGATATCATTCACTTTCAGATTCACTTGCCCAAAAGACAAGTGATCTCAAACTTTGACTTGTCCCAATGCCAAAACTTGGTTGCCCAAAATTACCAGAAAGGAAGAAGAAAACTTCATTTCTAAATGTAAAAAGTGGGACCAGATACACTACTGTCTATTTGGCAAGTTGGGGTACCTTAAAAAAATTTGATGCTACATTTGTACATAAATGTATACCACTGTCGTCAATTTAACTGTAAACATAAACTGCCATGCAGTAATAACCACATGTTTCCTTTATCATGAAGTACATATTTTTTAAAAATTATTTTTGGAAGGATCCTTTTGCAAATATTGATTTTCAGAGATAACTGTGAAGCAATGCTAAACAAAGACATCTGCTACAAAACATACATATCTTGATCAGGATACTTGTGTTTACTTACATTCTGTGAGTAAATAAATGATAATCTTATCTCCTTATAAGTAGGGAACAAAGTTTTTAAAAATTGACAGAATTTACCACAAAAGAAAATAGAATAAAATTTATTTTTAAATGAACAGTATAATCTAGAAGCTCTAGGAATTCTGAATGCAAAACTAGGGATGTGCAATTTTATAGGTATACCGGTATATTGTGATTTTTAATTGCGTGATATGTATCGTGATACGGAGACTAAAATACCAATATTTAGGTACATAGTTATAAATTCCAGAAATTATTCATTTATTTGTTCAATCTTTCAAATTACAGGTAGTGTAAAAAAATGTTGAAAAATGTAAAAGAACGGCATCCTAGCATCCAAAATTACTTGATATTATGCAAATGAAAAATAATGAAAAAAGTGAAATTATGTTTTTGCAGCATATTTTTTGGAAAAATTACGAATATGATATATATAATATATAAAATCATTGTAAAAATTGCTTGTAAAAATATCATGATATTTTTGGGAAAAAATATTGATATATCGCGATATGAAATTTTTGGCGATACCCATCCCTATGCAAAACCAATGTCAGTCACATACCCATCAGAAATCAAGAATTAAATTTATTTTTTATTTATTAACTAATGTAAGCTAAATAACAATATACTTTCTAAGAGAAAATTTCACTTGTCTGATCAGACAAGTACATCAGCAGTTTCACTTGCTGAAACTGAGAATTTACTTGCCCGGGCAATAGGACAACCGTTGATGTTGAACCCTGTAGTGGAACAGTTAACCTGTATGGATGCAGATAGAACCATTGAGTATGATTTTATCAAAGAAACACCAGCTGTCCCTATAAAAGCTTCCAATTTACTATATATGTTGTTTGTCATATAAAAAAAAAAGCAAATTTAGCCAAAATTAACTAATATCTTAACCATTGTTTACTTTTTGAAATCATAATGCATGATTGATCATTGATGAGATTTGTGGATATAAATGTTCAATAAAATCTTCCATGTAACTTATTTCGGATACATAATGTTCTTGATGGGGGTAGACAAATGGGAAATAATATTTCCTTGGATAATAACAGTGATTCAACATCGGCTCTGATAATTGATTTACCCAAGCTTCAGTGTAGCCATTACACCCCCAAATTATAGTTCTACTTCTGCCTGTGGTTTCTGGGAGTTGTTTGACACAATGTTTCAAGGGACCTGTTTTATGGTGATTGAACTGCTTTTGTTTTGTCTTGGACTATAAACAATTTACAATTACTCTCTGGTGTCCCCTTTGACATAGGCAGGGATGGGGGAATGTCATAAATAGGCTGCAAGAAAACAAGAATGTCTGTGAAATACTGATGCCCATATATGGCAGTGGTAAAAGGGTAAAAGTTTTTTCAAAAGTAGTTCAAACTCCAAGATCAAAGTCATGAGGTCAAAAATAATGATGCCCAAAGAAAGATCTTGTCATTATAAATACTTTTGTAAAATATGGAAATCCTAACACCAACCATTCAGAAGTTTTGTCCAAGATTTGTTTTTCAATAGTAGGTCAAACTCCAGGGTCAAGGCCACAAGGTCAAAAATGTTTGTACCCAAAGAAAGGTGTTGTCACAAAGAATAGATATATGAAGTATGAAAGCCCTAGCACCAACTGTTCAGAAATTATGGCCATGCAAGGTTAAGTTGGTTGAAGTTGCACAAAAATAGGTCAAACTTGTAGGACAAGGTCTTGAAGTCAGAAATTTTGGTGCTAGGGCTATCACAGTTCCCCGAAATAACTGAAAACCATGGTCCAAGTTGTTCAGTTCGGTTTCAGTTCTATTTTTCCAGATTTTGGTTCGGGTCTGGTTAATATACATGTACATGTATGTAAGAAAGGGTTTTATACAAAAAATGGCATCAAAATCAAAAGAATGACAATGATAACAGTAAACCATGTAAACATCACAACTGAAATTTACTTCATCCATGACAAAACACTTGTCAGGAAAGGATGGGATAATTATCAAAATGAGCAAGAGTGGTCATGTTGTAGTTTATAGTTGACCTAGTAGTCCTAAACACCGATGTCAAGATGTTAACATGGTTAAGACTTGTTTTCAAATACACATGTGAAATATGAAAGTCCTGGCACCAACTATTCAAATGTTACAGGCAAGGTTAAAGTGTTTGCCAACAAAGAGATCAACAAACAGACAGACAGATGAAAAACTATACAAGTACATGTACTTAGTAAGTCCCTGAATCCAAGATTACAGAAGCATAAGAATTTCTAGCTTCACAGTCTGCCCACCCTGAGTTTTATCCCCATATATTTACATTTGCAAATGTTTTCCTTTAAATAACACTATTGAAAGCGATGTGTATCTATTTCCGTATAAACATCAGTTCCTCTCATCATAAACGTTCGACGTAATTTCTCAGTGACGTCATAAAGGGTTGACGTGCAATTGATAGATCAAACTTGTGCGGTTGAATTTGAAAAAATAAAACATTTCATGTGTTAAAGGTTATAATCAGGCTAAAATATGAATAGATCACAAAGGTAAATGTAAGTAATAAGGTATCATTTTAAAACATCTATCGGGATATAAATACGGGTTGGTATGATATCAAATTTACCATAAAGCCCTTTGGGCTTCATGGAATTTGATCTCGTGACCAACCCGTATTTATATCCCGATAGATGTTTAAAGATGATACCTTATTTCTTAAGAGCGAGTCTACGAGAAAATCATGCAAAAATAAAAATATGTTACACAAGTCACATTAAAAAAAGATTATTTTAACTACATCATTTTAAAGAAAATGGACCTTATTATCTGTTGTGAAAAAATTTTCAACAAATGCTTTCTCCTATTTGAGATAGCCCTGAATCTATTTATAGCTCTCTGGTGGGCTGGGATTTCAAGGAAAATTAAGCACTTTTATAAGCCCTTTAAAATGTCAAATAAAACAATGATTTTGGATATTTTTGTTTTCTATGTAGAATTAATAAGTATAGTTTTTGTATGAAGTTAAATTTTATTTACCAGATCTTATTCATTTGGGAAAGGATGACTGCACTTAAGGACATGCGAAAATTGTGACAAAATAAACTTTCAAAACAAGCATTTTTCTTTTAATTGCACGAATGGTCAACATCTAATCTACAACTTTATGTAATTACATTAAATAAAAGTGCGTATTTACGAAGTACGAAGCTGTTTTCTAAGGCGGGGGTCATCACAATATCTTGAATCTCCGTTCGATAATGAGGACGCCCACTTTTTCACTGACTTTATACATAGTCAGCGCATGTTTGTCTATTGTTCTCCGTTTAACAGTAGTTGTATATTTGTATTAACAATGTTGTGTCAAAAGGAGATTAATAGACAAACATGCGCTCATGGTTTAAACGAGAAAAAACTGCTTCTTCTTACATTCGCTCTCTCTATTGTAACCAAGGGCTGTATCATGTTGAATATTATAATTCACCACGTGATTTCTTACCTCAGGTAAGTCTGTGAATACTAAATTCCGTCACGTGACTTGTAAAGTAGCATGTTTTGTGCTAACTAGGACAAAGTGCTCGAACACGTTAAATTGTTAGGCATTGATTTAAAAGATTCTTTACTTACATGGACCTCGCTCATATTGTTAATTTCGTTTTTGAAACCTCTGAACATAGTGTACTTGTGCCATACAGAATAAAGAGGGAATGGGAAAGAGTGATCTCGTATTTTTTTTAATACATGTCATTGTTATTTATCTAGTCTAATTTTAGACCCATTCTTACAATATTAGCTCCACCTCTCATGCATACCTAATGTTTAATCAAGGGCAGGTAAGTGTAAATTTTCTATATTTGGAAAGAGTAAGGACAGAAAACATAGAATCATTTTATTGTATCACAGTCCAAGATCATTTTAATATTTAAATTCGGCTCGAAATTGACAGGATTCTTTCATAAATATATAGAAATGAAATAAGATAATGATATAAAAGCAACAGAAGCGATCGAAAAAGACCCAAAACCCGGCGTTAAGTGCAGTCATCCTTTAAAAGGTTTTATTAAAGAAAATCTACTTGACTATTTATTTGTCTATGGGAGACACAGTGCTGTGTTTGAT